TTCTCTCTCTCTCTCTCTCTCTCTCTCATCACTTATGTAAACGCTACATAAATCTTTGAAAGAAAATCTTCTTAGGCTTTTCATCGTAATTGCGTCATAGAATAAATTTCCTTTTAAAAAATATTTTACAGGACAAAAACACTTGCTTCCACTCATCTTTTCTTAAAGTCCAATATAACCTTGTCTTAAAAGAGTAATCAGTAAAGAAAAAAAGCACTTTATTATGGGAACAGCTGCCATGCGTATACGGTATTGATTGGTTCTTCGCAGAGGTCTTAACTAATACAAGAATGGATTGTGTTTGCTTGCTTTGTTTGTTCAGGTAACATCAGTTGTATTGATTTTCCATAGATTGATGCCTTCGTCAAACATCGGCCTGGGAGTTATCTGAGGGGTTTGTACTCGATATATCGATCTGTTAGCAATGCTGATGTTAGCATAGTTTCTTTTGTCTGCACATGTCCCTTTTGGTTTTGCACCATCAGCTGCCTAGCCTTGTTGTTCTCTCCTCCACGCCTTCTGTCTTTCCACAAAATCAGCTTTGTAATATTTACCCCCCCACCCTCGAGTCAAACGTTTGCGGAAATGATTTATTTTCAAATTCTGTGTACATTACTCGTTGTTTGTTAACCGATTTATAGTACCAGTACTCCAGGTTCGGGCCACTATTTTGTAGAATGTGATCCTCCGTTTTCTGACGAATTTAACTGTCCGCACCTTTTGAGTGTGCTCCAGCCGAATATAAGGTATCTTAATTTCTTGTGCCCATATCCATTCAGTTTGCTGCAATGTCTAGGTTTAAATAAAAAACCAACTTTATTACATTGGCGTTGTCCGATGAAATACAGATATAGCTTCCTTTTCGCTATTCCTCTAGAAATGAACTCTCTAAGAACTGCAAGCAAGAAATGCTGGAATATGGACAATTGCGTCTTAAGTATAGTGATATTAGTTGATAATCAATGCAGCCAAAAAACAGCTGTTACTGTTGCACGTTTAGTCCAGTTTATCTGAGGCGGGAGAATCATTTATGAATACATAATCATCGTTGACATGCAATTCATAACTGCGTCTATGAATCTATGAATAGAGTATTAGTTTGCGGCTCCCCATGTTTGGGCTTCAAACAATAAAGGCGAGGCAATATTATTCAGTCTACCTCGTATGGGCATTGCAGTTGTTGTTATCTTAAAACTTATTCTAAAGAGAATCAATGATGTCTCATTTTATAGCCGTACTCACTGCTACTCTCTTTTTGACCTGGATTAATGTTCATTATAGCAAACGTTATCGTCACCGTATCTATATTCAGTTCACTTTGTTAAAGATTCCCCCCTTGCACAGCTTTGTATATTTGGTTGGGAAAAAGAAACTTTTAAAGAGCGGCTCTCACCAAATACAGCTTTTTAACTTATTTTAAGTGATAAGGGGAAGAAATTCTTGCAAAGACAAGCATTCATTTATAATAGGCTTTGAAGGGTTTGTTTTACCTGCAATCGTTATAGGTGTACGTTTTTAGCGAAAGCAAGAACATAAGGAAGAATGGGTTACTTTATCTTCACAAGAAATCATGGAATTGAGTAAGTTTGATATCCTTTTAGTCATGTTAACGTGTTGAAAGGGGCGACACTTTCTTTTGGAATAAGACACAGCTAAGTAGGAAATCTTGAGAGCATCTTAAATACCCCAAGCCCAAGAATCCATCGTTTGAATTCCATGGTTAAACAGTGCTGAAAAACAAAAAGGGTGAGGGGGGAGGGGGGGAGAGCTATGTTTTCTGATAAGGATGCGTGGTGATGGCAGTATTGGTGGCAATGGATTAAAGTGAGTTATTGTACACCCATTTTGACAACTAGATTATTTGGTGGCGGTCAAAAGTTGGGGATACTTTTAGAAATACGACGAAGATGAAAGCAGTAACTCAACAAAAGATTTAACGACATCTTGATGACTTTTGGAGTCAGACTTCCGTGTATCTGGAACAAGGCTTTCACTGTTGTCCTGTTCTATGTTCGGAACTAACTACTTAGGGCGAGGTTTACGACTTTTTCCTGTCTGGGCGTCTTCCTGTCACGAACATCTTCCCTTTGAATTTACTTGTCCTCTGTAGCTGGAATGGTACTGTTCATATTATGTCTGGGTCAGTCTTTTAATAAGGGGGGAAACGAGATGAATGGGTTTAAGTTAATACATTATTTAATTAGTATTGCTATAGTGTGGTGCCTACTCGAAAAGTTTAGTTTTGAATAGGGAACTAATCCGAGTTTTGGGGGGGGTTTGGGGAGGGGGGGAGGGGAGTGTTTTTTCCGTTTTGTTTTCTGCTGGATTTGTGTGTGTGTGTGTGTGGGGGGGGTCATTTAGTTTTGATCTGATCTTCAGAACAGTTTAGCACAGCAATATTGAGAGATATAGTATGATATTCAGATGAGATGCCAACAGTACCTCACTTCAGCATGTTTGAGTTTTATCCCATGCTTTTATCTACCAAGAAAAATGTGAAAGCAATTCTCAGCGGGGCATATAACAAGAAACGTGTTTTCAGTCTGAATAGCAACTGCAGTTTGATTTCTGAGAAGAGCAATAACCGTTACAGGTTAAGAGAAAGCGAGGGGAAAAAATAAGAAACCCAGAAAAACCACAACGGAAGAGTCCACGGATATTTCATTTTACTTTATTTCATTTCAATTGTGCGTGGGTGGGGTGGGGGTGGGGGG